CGTTCTATCGCGGCCGCGCACAACCTCCTACTCTCTTCCTCCTGCTTTCTGCCCAAGCGTTTCTAATTTGCATTCCCCTCCGTTGGCACTCCTCGCCAGCGACGATCCCACCCACCCACCTTCTGTCCTCGTCCTTCTCCACTTTCCTTCTCCTCAGAGCTCCGTACCTCACCCTAGCCGCTACTTCTCCACTTGCCACCCAAACCACCCCCCAACGGCCAGCAGCAGCAGCAGCAGCAGCAGCAGCAAGTCCGTTGTCCGTCTTGTGAGATTTCACGCACACTCACATGCACACGCATCCTTCTTGTCCCGAAAAGCAGAGCTGCCAGGGGTGGCGGAAGGCAGAGACAAAGAGACCACCCTTAACTTCGGCCCACGGACGACGAGTAAGACGACTAGTCGACGTAAGAGCGACAAGGATGGCTCCTGGGCTGCCAAGGCAGTTAGCTTGGGGAACTATCTCTACCTTCTTAATACCTTTCCGTCGGGGTCTATCCATACGTCCGTTCGTTGCTGCTGCTTCTCTTCTCTTCTCTTCTCTTCTCTTCTCTTCTCTTCTCAGTTTCTCTCGTTCGCTCTCTAGTCCTCCAACCAAGCAACCTAACCGTTCTTCCTAGCCCTCTTCCTAGCCCTCTTCCTAGCCCTCTTCCTAGCCACTCGCCTTAGCTGCTGCCCATCCTATCCTTGCCACCCACCGCACAGTTGTCTTCGCTCCCTTACCCCTTCGTTACATCCCTCGTTATCGTTAAAGCCGCCGGACCTTCCGAGTCTCGATGTCTTCTCGACATAAATATCTATGTATGACGTTTACCTTTATCGTAGTAGATATCTGCTATCGAGTACAATCCGTCTTTGCAATCTCTCTCTAAGAGACAAATATGATTATATTTTAGAGAAATAAAACACGCTCTAAGTGCGATCGAATTTATGACTTTTTTTTTTTATTGCTACCAAACTAATGTCCCTCTTAAGAGAAATCTTTAATCGATCTATCTATATCGAATCTATATATGCATGTGTATACCAACGCGATCCAAAATCCTATTAATATCGAAGATTATACGTAAACAAAAAAGTTACAAAGTGCCAAAGGTTATTTTTACGATTGCACAAGAGCAGTGTACAAAGTATACGCTGATTGCAACGAAGATTGTATAATTTTTCGTCGGATATGGTATACATCGTTAACGAAATCGATCAAGAATAGATCGTGCATCGCTGTTGAAGGAGCGCATATATATATATATATCGTATCGAGAAAAGAAATCTAAGGTAAGGAAAATGAAAGAAAAGAAATATAAGAAGAAGAAGAAGAAGAAGAAGAAGAAAAAAGAAAGAAAAAGTCCTTTCCATTGATTAAAGCCGAACGTCGCACACGAGTGTAGTCGACGATACGTTCAACGACGGGCAATGCTTTCGCGAGGACAATGGCGGCAATGAAGATAAAGAAAGGGTCGGAGCAGGCATAATTCCGAGTACGTTAAGAGATTCGACCGACTGACGGATCTGTCAGGGATGGATGGCAGTAAGGGTTACGAGCATCGCTCATCAGTAGCGGCCATATTGCCTCCCGGTACCCCATCCCATAGCAAGGAGTGCGAGCCCTGATAATTCCCCAACCCCTTCTTTACGTGTATATATATATATATGTGTGTGTGTGTATATATGTATGTATGTCTTTCTTTCTCTCACTCTCTCTTTCTCTTTTTCTCTCCCACTCTCTCTCTCTCTCTCTCTCTCTCTCTCTCTCTC